CCTCAAAGCGTTCAACTCTCACGTAAATCAAAATAGTTGTAGTAGCTGTTGAAGTAGAGTAACAGAATTGCTGAGGCCTTTTTACTATTTGTCTGCATGTCTCTCCAGAGGCTTTTGTATTCTTTGTATAACAATGTTGGATCATCATTAAGGCCTCCATTTGTTACACAGATTATCACTTCAGATCAGAAGAGATTTATGGGAAGGATCATGTCATGATAACAAAAAAGATGGCTGCTTTACAATGACTGGCAGCATTTAAAAAAGATCGTACACAGCTGTAGTCTGTGTTTGTGGTTTTCAGTCCCCTTTTCCTGATGTACTGTGTCAATTTGTGCTCATCTCTCTGTGTTCATTTCTTTTGCTGGTGCTCTTTCTTTTTTTTTTTCTTTGCTAGCCAAGATATGGTGATATTATTACCTTTGCCAAGGAGGTTGTGTTTTAAGTGCTGTTTGTGGGTTTGTTTGTTTGTCAGCAGGATCATGGAGAAACTACTAGCCTGATTTTCATTCCTAGTGAAAGGGTATGGCATGAGCCAAGGAAGAACCCATGACATTTTTTTATTATTATTATTATTATTACAGGCTTTTACACAGCCCTACATAAAGTGATATTTTCTGACACTCAAAGGGACCAAGCCCTTAAGTATGCATAACTTTAAGCCTTAATATAATTTAAATGGGTGAGTTACATACAAATTCACCCCGTTTTATGTACCAGGCTGCAAACAACATGTTTATTTCTCCTGTAAATAAGGGCATTTTAATATGCATGCTCATGAAGATTGATTCACTTCTATAGCCAGCCTCAAGTGGCTGTTAAAGGAACTGCAGCTTTTGTTACTTCAGTGTTGGCTGCATTTGCAAAGAAAAATGGAAGTTGCTGCTTGGTACCAAGAGCTGAAAGGGAACATAAATGATTCCAAAATGAATATTGTTGCTCTGTAACAGCTGGATGTTTGAATAAGCAACTGTTTGCAAACAAGTTTGCTACATCAACTAAAAGCTATGATATGTTATACATACGTTTATATATGTTTTCTTTTCTTTTTTGCTGCTGCCCAAAGAAATCAGTTACTGCAGGATTGCCTTAAAACTTTCTTCACACATTCACATTAAGAATATAAAAAGGCTGTATGCTAGTTCACTGGGTGTACTCTTTTAGGTCACTGTACTGTTAAAGTTACAGTGAACATACCTTCAGACTACACATGAAGACCAAAAAAAAAGTTTGTCTAACTCTGGGTAATTAGGACAAATTGCAAAATTGCCCAAAGACTGCACTAACCCTGAAAGTCCTTTCTGTTCACACATTTCTTCTGATGCAGGACTCAAACATCTGTTTTACTTTTGCCGGAAACAGAACAGGCATGACTGGCAGCCCCTCTTCCTCCCTCCTCTACCCCCTCCCCATCATAATGGCTTGATCCTTTGATTATAGTGTAGGGAGAAAAGCACATGAGTATATGTTCCTAAGTTTTCCTTGAGGGCACAGCTTTGGCACATGAAATGTTCTTTCATGAATACTCCCGCACAAGTGGGGCTTAATAAAGACCATCAGAGCATTAGCAGCAGTAAGTGTGTGAGAACATTTTCCAGTTCCTGGGGCTATGAATTACTGCTCATTAAAATATTGTAGCATCAGCAATCCCACACACATCTCCACATGACAGCGGAGTTTGTGGATTGTGCGACTGATGTTAATCTTGTTATTATGGTTCTTTGCGATTTGTAAATTCTTATAAGCTTGTGTAATTGTGAGTCCAAACAACGGCTGATAAATGAGAGATTTTCTTATTAGGTACACAGAATGGACATCTGATCTATCTAAACATACATTTCTAAAGATTGATCAATTGATTCTGGCGGAATAGCAATGTAAATATCCATAATATGGCCGTGGCCTGGGTATAAAGTACATTTATTTATAAAATATTCTGACAGTGAAATGGATGTTTTACCCTTGAGTTCATTGTTTCCACATTAATACTGATTGTTTCTCAGAATTGTCTTGTGTAATTACTTCCCTGGTGACGAAACAATAGTTGATTAAATGCACTTGCTGCTGGACTACTAGCTGAGTAATAACATGCAATCATAAGCAGGTGTACAGTGCAGCCTTCATAATGTGACACTCACTTTGACTCCACTTTAACATAAAGTATGTTCTCGTCCCATGTAGCCTTTCTACAACTATAATAATTCATTGTTAGACAGGGCAAAGAAAAAATCATGAAATGCACTCATTATGGACTTCATTTTAAAACATATTCATGTGATCATGTATATCATTGTAATTAATCATTTCAGTGCCTCTGGAGCAGGGTGAATTTGGGACTGGAGTGTGAATATAGAGATCAAGATACCAGTTTGAAGGAGTACTCCAGTGATTTAGTGTTGCACTTCTAGAAAGTCGGGGGACTGACAATAGACAGATAAAAAAAAAAAACGGTCAAAAATGTTACAGCATTTTAGTCTCTAGTATGAGTAAATCTAAAAACATCCTACATTTCCCGTAATTCAACCTAAGATGCTATATCTTTTGTTAGATCTTGCTTGACTGCTAAATGGCCACACCTCTCTGACCTAAAGTAACTTCTTTTAAGCTTCAACTTAAATCCACAAAAACAAAGAAAGAGCCCTGATGATGTCATGTTTCAAACTTGGGAAATCTCCCTCGAGAAGACATTGTTCAACAGTTTCCGTTTTATATGTAAAATCAGCGAAGGAGGTGTTTGAACACTAGCATCTGCAGCCATGGTTTGCATATTCTGTCCTCAAAATCGAGTCACCCCACCATTAGGCAAAATACACTGACCTCATGCTGTATGTCTCTGGAAAACAGCATTAGCAGCAAATCATGAGATTAAAGTATGAAATTGAACTGAGCAGATGTTCTGTTCATCTGGGTTCCTTGTGGCCTGAGATGAATGAAACATCTCTGTCCTTTACTTGCTAATGGGACTCTGAACCCCTTTTTAAAACTTAAAAACTGACATCTTGTTTACCTCCTTGGTTAACTATTTGACCTTGCATCCCTCGCGGCTGTTAACTAAAGGTTAAAAGTGCAAAGCAAATCATGCCTTCTCTCTAAGTGGTTCTCGTCCATATATCTTTGAGGTTTCCTGGAAGGATGGTATGTTGGAATTTTTAGTGCGACACCAGATATGTTCCCTTGGTGCCATTCCTCGGGGCAGCAGAGTGTGACCACACGGCTCTCTGCAGACCAGTGATTTGTCTGGCAGTGCTATCAGGATGAGTGTAAAGAGCAAATGGCACTCTAATGGCTGACAGACATGGATTCATTTATTAAAGTGCTTGAGCGAAGGAGGGTTTAATCTCCTTGAGCAATCCCATATCTTTGGGAAAAGTCCCAAGGCACTCCGAGACATGTTCATAGTGGTAAAATCCTAGGTTCCCAAATCCCAGGTTCATGTTCAAGGGCTGCTCTTGTAGATCATTCTTTTATGAATCGTATTTAGTTAAATAGATTTTTTTCTTCTCAAATGCACCTTTTCTGTCAGACTAATTAGTCTCAGCACTGCTTCGTACATAATGAAATTGACCTTTTAGTTGGGAATGATCTCAGTCCGTTCCCAGGTAAGCGGGTGATCAGGATACAACAATACCAGTCTTTGAGCGGTGACTCACGTTCTCCAAATTTGATGAAGAGCTGTATTCATAATCCTCAAGAGGAGTTGTTAAAGCACAGGATTCATCAGCAAAGCCCACCTGTGGGCGGGACATGACGAATGGCACTTTACCTGCTCACATGGAGTAAAAATTAAAGACTCCGTTATAACTTACATCTTACACCCAGTGGGTAAGAGGTACAACAATGTTTGGCACTGTAGGACACCCACCCACCCTCTGGATGGATGGAATTTGTAGCAGCCCTCTGCAGCTTTGAAAGGCAATGGCCCAGTAAGTGGTTTTCCGCTTTTTAGTAATGCCATCAGTGGTCTGTTCACAGCATGTTAAGTTTTTTCCTAAGTGCTAGCAGAGGAATGTTTAGTTTGGTTGATGCAGATGGTCGTAGACTGGTTCCCCTAATCTTGAAACATTACAGAACATACACTGGATGGAATGGAGCCAAAAGTTTGTGGACACCAAAACATTAAACGCTTTATTGATTGTTGAACATGTCATACCAAATCCATGGGGATTGATCTGCTTCTATAACAGCCTCCACTCTTCTGATTTCTGGCTTCCCACAAAGACTTTGGGTAATGGGGTCTGGCTCACAGTTGGTGCTCCAGTTCCTTCCAAAGGTGTTGGATGGGGTTGAGGTCAAAGCTCTGTGCAACAAGACCTTTTTTTATGGACCTGGCTTTGGCTATGGATGTATTGTCATGCTAAAACAGGAAAGGGCTTTAAACAAACTGCTGCCACAAAGTTGGAAGCACACCATTTCTAAAATGATAGCATGCTGTGGTATTCCCCTTCATTATGGCCTATCCCAGGGCTTTATGAAACAAGCATTATAAGCAATATGAGGCTGCTACAAACATTAATTAGATAGATGAAAGATGAAGTTCTCCCTCTCTGTTTGTATTGTTAGTTCCTTTGAATCACTTTGCTGTCTCAATGCATTTTTACATGAGAAATAAAGCAAAGTAAACGCTTAAAATGCTCTCACGCACATGCAGCAGTTGATCCATTCCACTGACAATGACACAGAGGAGGATTTAGCTTCCAGGTTGTTGCGATGCAAACATGTTGACACTTAATTAAACTTAATACAGTGCTAGGCACCATTGCATCACACACAGTAAAGGTACAATTTTATTAATATAAGTCACGCTTGGAAAAATACATTTTATAGCATTTTGTGTGGGTGAAACTGGGACTGGGTTTTCATACAAGCACCCAAGTGTCTTCACTCTGATATTATAGCACATCATTACCTGAGCTTGTTTGGTTTGCTGTTAAACGTATGCATGGTGTACAAAGCTCCTTAACGGCTTTAGCTGTATTTTCTCCTTAACTGTGTCACTACAGATGAGGTGAGCATTCTGCAGGAGCTTTCTCTTCAGCTGTTGAACAGCAGTAACACCTCCATGACTGTGGATGACAGTAGGTGTCCGGTCCTACAGGTGGGGCAGTACTCCACCTTGGCTCTCCCTCTCCAACAGCTCCTCACTGACGGGTACGGTTTCATCTACAACTCCATATGTTAACTCTTTATTAATAGTTCCTACTGCATGTAAAGGTAAAATCTATTGGTTCGCCTTTGTTTTGTCCTCCATGTCAACTGTTGCTTACTGGGCCTAGTGGTGGTACAATTATCAGTAACAATTATAAATGGTGTGTGTCTATGTTTGTGTTCAGGTTTGCAGATGAGTTCAGTTTGCTGGTGCAGCTGCGGAGTCCTCAGAGAGACGAACGCAGTGTCTTCACCATGCTCAGCCCCGACAGCCACGTTATGCTGCAGCTGCGGATCAGTGCTTACGCCGTCATCTTCATAGGAACACAGCAACGACACTATGAGTGAGCACACCTCTTGATTTTATTTTATTATTTATTGTTTTACTTGTCCTTTCCTGCACCAAATCAGTACAAATTGAGAGTATGTTATTTATGTATTGAGTGCTGTGAAATAGATTTAAGATGATAATTAATTGGCTAAAATTGCTTAAAATCTACCAGTGAGACAGTACATACTTTTTATTCATTATCCAAAAAATCCAGATGTCAAAGTGATTACAGCATCCATCTCAGGTAATTGAGAACCACTCTTGCCCATTCCTGCTTCTTGGCTAAAGTGCATGAAAATGTGTCTGTATGACTGAGGAAAGTCTGTGGAAGTGTATTTGTTTGCAGCACATACGTACTTCTCTGACTGTAAATTGTGTTTGACTGTCTCTTTGGTGAGATGATTTATTAGGCGTCTCTTGGCAGATTTTTGCCTCTTCAGGAACCACAGAGCTTGAAGCAATTCATCACTGCACGACAGCAGACAGAACTGGGCCAAAAGATAGACAGACATAGATACTGTACTTGTATTCCACTGTTGGCACATGGCTGATTTTATTTTTTACCTTGTTTTTGTCTTAAGGCAGCATGTCTATCAAGCATGTTCTTTGGTGGCTTCCACCTACAAGGATGCTAGTGGGTCGACATTAAAGCTCCATTATTTTTTATGTGATATATTAAAGGGGAATTCCACCACTTTTACAAATCAAAGTTGATTTGCAGGTGCAATAAAAGTTCTATAAAGACTTTTATGGCTCCATTGGGAGCTGCGTGACGTCTGATGTATTCAAATTAAATATCTGATCAGCCACAACCAACATTGCCTTAAGTGATGTCACTTGAGTCAGTGTCAGATGGGGCTGAAGACTACAAGTTAAGCTGGAGATGTGGGGTTAGAAAGAAGTGAGTTTACCAGACCTCCGTCCCACTCCTCATCTCTGCTTGAGGCTGGCAGCTCGAGGCAACATTAGCCTCTGCTAATCTTCACTTGAACTGTCTGTGATCAAGTTGAATTATGGGTAATGTATATGCCTAGAGACTATATCTCTGGTTCTGCTGCACTGTTTTTTGATTCGATTGATTTGATTTCTTTTTTAAACTGTGGTGTAACAATATAGGAGCACAAAGCTTAATCGGCTGAGCACTATGACAATGAAATGACTTACTGCCAGATTTTTCAGCTCTAGAAAGATCTTTAGCCTCTTTATCATTGTTTCAGAGACACACTGTGCACTACCTGACCAGCCACAAACAGCAGATAGACAAAGTGAAAGACCAGCTGATAAAGAAAGTGGCACATTTAGCAGTTAAAGAGCCTCATATTTTTCTCAGGAGCTGGTGGAAGTAACTGTTAATACTGCTTATATGTTAGGCATAGCATGTTTATAAGGTGATATGTCAGAGGTTAGTGTTTGTTGTGGAAATATTCTGACCCCCAAATGAGTTTCTGCCTTTTTTTTAATCAGTATTATATTCCACTTCTGGCATGTTTTATGTAGCCATGCTAAAGAATGATGGATCAGCAGTGTTTGCACATTCCAACACAATATCAGATGCTACACACCAGCTGTCAGGGGTGTGGCGTTTTGCTAAAGGACACTTCATCAGATCAGATCAGATCAGAAAATTATTTCGTTTAAATAGTTGACCTACAGCTTGAACCTTACTACTCAGTAAAGGAAGGTTTTTAGTAAAGAGAAATACAAAAGGTTTTAACTTTAATTTATGTCCAAGATTAATTCATACAGACATTCATCTCAAGATGCACAAAAACCAAAGACGTGATTACATAATGGACCATGTGTCTCTGTCAGGTTCCCAGTCAGCGGTCTGTCTGATGGAAAGTGGCACCATGTGGCCATCAGTGTGTCTGCCAAGCGGCTGGCGCTGTATGTGGACTGCTCTCTGCTGGAGAGTGTGGACTGGGTTTACCATGGCATGGGGATCAGCGCTGACGGCCTATTCATGGTGGGAGGCATCATTGAGGGCTTCGAGACTCCATTTGAAGTAAGTGGCTCTGCAACTTTGTTTTTTTCTTTTTCTCATTTTATTTTCCCACTGATCATAAAGAGAGACATTAAGACACACCAAAGCAACCACACCCTTGATATAATCATAAGCCCAAAACCCTATCACCTGTTCTGCCCATTTCTTTCATTTACAAGACGGCCAGAAGATAAATTCATAAAGTTCAGTTCAGATTCTCAACTGACTTAACAATGAACTTCAGGGTGTCTGAATGGCTAGTTGGATTTTAAAAGCTCTACTTTTTGAAAATGCTAATGTTGTTCTGTATTATGTTTGTGTGTAATAACACAAATTATATGACCAGATGATTATGCAACAGCCAGATGATATTTAAACCAACTGTTGCCAGGTAATAAGCCACATGTGTATAGTCCAGTTCAGTAGAATTTGGTCCGAAAAGACATGCGCGCCTGCTCATCCTTGCAGCACACACACGCACACACATAGGAAAGAACACACAAGTAGATATTCCAGCCCCGTGGCCCTATCCCACCCCATTCCCTTTTCATCACAGACCCAAAGACATGAAGCCCGTAATGCTTAGAAACCATGTGTTTGTTTTTATAAACTATGCGTAAAAATTCCCTGTAACCTGCTCTAACCACAACCTCAATTACCGCCCAATCACCAGTGTTACGTAAAATTACAGAGGAAACACTGATGAGTGTTTGGACAGAGGATGAGTTCAGTATCCTCAACACCCCTCCCGACATGAAGACATCTCTCGTCACATTACTTAATCGTTAACCAAATCTGGATGCCTTTGGACTGCGGCAGGAAACCCACAAGGAGAACATGTAAACTCAAAGTACAAATCATGTAAACTTTTGCTGACAATTTTCAAATGCAGTAAGTTTAGTTTTAGATTGTTCCATGTCATTTTCTTTGTCCATTCCAGTCACCTACTGGATTTCATTATTTCCTGTATGATATTACCATCTGTTGGTAGACTCTTGAAAACTTACCTGAGTTGTGTAATCTGTCGCAGAGAACATCAAATCTGCATTCATTCTTGTCAGAGTTACATTATTGTTGTGTGGTAATGCAGTTTAAGTGCAGATTAATTTGAAAAGGTCATCATTACATTATCTTGTATGGTCCTTTTTTTTTTCAACTGAACCTCTTCCATTAAAGGCTGATTTTGAAGGCCCATAATGCACCTCGCTTTGCGTTGTGCACATGCTGTCCCAGTTACTGCGAACACTGATGTAGCCCGAGGATCAGAGCAGGCAGTGTGACTGTATCACAGTGGGGGGGAGGAGGAGTGTTATAGAAGCAGCATCTGGATTTGTTCTTAGCACCAGATAAAATGGATTCTCCATTGCCTTGTTTCCCCTGGTGACAGCTTTTTACTGAGCTCCAAGGATGGAGCACTTCCACAATCTGAGGTGGTGACAGTCTTGTCTCTGGATAATCTTTTGTGTTAGGCAACGCCAAACCTTACATTACTGTACACTGCTTTTATCTATAACTCTGACTGTCATCTACTCCACTATAGCATGACACATACTGCTTTATTTTAATGGCTTAATTTTAGGACCAAAATGTGATATAGCCGGGCCTTGTCTTTCAAGTGTGGCTTAACTTATTCAGGGTAATATGTTCATCCTGGATGGACTTATCTTGAATAAAAAAATAAAGGCAAAATCAATAGTAGGAACCATGATAAGCATTCATATGATTGGTCGAGTGCCAGGTAGGTATGTTGGGAACCCTCCCAGCATGCATTGATGCGATACATTCATGGATGTAAATCTCTGTTCTACATTTTGCTCCACAATGTTTCCACTATTTCTGCACTGTTTAACATTAGAGATTACCAGTGAATGTGGATAGATTAGTGGGTTTCTCAATTGAGGTAAAAGAGACCTTTAAGTGACAATCATAACCCAGCTATGAAAATGAAACTTCCATACCGGGTTTAATTACGCATTCTACCGTTAATTGTTTAATATGTTTCAGTGTACAAATCAGAAATCCCCATTTCATTGTCAAATTAAATGCCATATGTTCTGGCTTCATTCGTCAGAACGGTCATTTTTTTTAGTTGAGTTTATGTCTTATTGCTCACAGTAGGGCTGACCGCTAAATCGTATTTTCATCATCATCGCGAAATGAACGTCTGCAGTGAACACATTGCAAAAGACTGCCTGAAACAAACCAGCCCCTCCCTTCTCTACCAGTGTTACCTCTAGGCAGAGAGTCACATATAGGAGGACAGAAGACATGATGAATTACTGATACTGATACTCTATACTTAACACTCAGTATTATAATGTCAGGAACATGATTTATTGATCTGTTACTGACATCTAAGATTTGTTTACAGTGAGACGTTATTGAGTTTATATATTGACTTTGCTGTTGTAGACATTACTGTGCAAGAATGATATAAACTTACACAAAAGTTACAACTGACTTATATCCCATGCCTGGGATTGAATTGTTAACTGATCTTTTGTAATCTGATGTAGCGCCAACTGCTCATCACCGATCAGCCATAACATTATGAGCACCTGGGCACCCTGGAGCAGTTTGAGCTACAGTAGCTCGTCTGTTACAACGGACCAACGACTACATCAATGAGCCTTGGCCACCAATGACCCTGTCTTCGGTTCACAACTTTTCCTTCCTTGGACCCCTTTTGATAGGTACTGACCACTGCAGACAGGAACACCCCACAAGAGCTGTGGGTTTGGAGATGCTCTGACCCAGTCTTCTAGCCATCACAATGTGGCCCATGTCGCTCAGATCCTCACGCTGCCCATTTTTCCTTCTAACCCATCAACTTTGAGGACAAAATGTTCACTTGCTGTCTGATATATCCCACCCACTGACAGGAGCCATGATATCGAAATAATCTGTATTATTCACTTCACCAGTCAGTGGTCATAATAAAATGGCTGATCAGTGTAGTTTTCTGTTCTGTATATCAAGAGACGGTTACATTTAAAAAAGTTTTGTGTAGATTTCCTCTCTCATTGTATTTAACATTTCTGTCTCTGCAGGGTCATCTCCGGCAGCTGACCTTCCTCATGGGCACCCCAGACGCAGCCCAGCAACACTGCAGTCACCACCCGCCCCGCTGTGGTGAGACCGCCCCCAAGCCTCCTCGCTCCCCACGCACCAACAATGCCCTGGAGGTGAGGAAAGATGAAGAAGAAAAGAAATCTGGTCATATAATGTGTGTTATTACACACACTGGCAATCATGGAGTCATGTCATTTCTTATTGTTCCTTTGTAAACCGCAAGGCTCTGACATGTCACTGAGGTGTTTAAGGTGAAGCCACATGTCTTTTGAAGCCCACAGCCCAGACACTCTGACTCCTGCAGTTAATACAGCAGAACCTGTTATATACTATGAAGCATGATAAAAGATCATCAGAGGATTTAAAACAAAAACTGCACTGACTCCTGTGGTTTTAATCCGGTCTGATGAATTTAATAACCGTGTGAGTGTTTGTTTGTGGTTTTTGAATTTAGAAATTGTCCCTTGTGTTTCCACACAGAATATACTCCTGTCCTCGAATGACCTGGAGGACCTGCTGGGGAATCCCGAGGACAAGTCATTTTTGGGCTTTGGTAGAACTGTAAGTAGGATATAAACGGCAGTGTTCTTTAAAGTTGTGTTGAAAATCCCAGTTCATTTAGGTGTTACAAGCAAGCAAAGTCCAACACAAAAAAACATGCAGTTGCCTGGTTTCACAGCTGCGTCCTGGACTTGTAGTTAGGAGAGTGTGGGGTTAGATCCAGCTGTGGACAGGCAGGCAGCTACAGACGTATATACCAACCATCGGTCTGGTTTTTACTGGCTATTTTTTTTTTCATCAATCTCTGTCTCTAACCACCAGTTCATCTTCTGTCATTAATTAGTACTGCGGTGCAGAGCCTCAGGCGTCAGAGGCACCAACCAGCCGTCCCACCTCTTGTTCTCAACTGACTGGTCCACTTTTAGTGTGTGTGTGTGTGTGTGTGTGTGTGTGTGTGTGTGTGTGTGTGTGTGAGAGTGAGAGAGAGCGTGTTCTGTGAGACGCCTGTGTGCCTGACCTGTCTGAGCTCTGGTCCATCAGTCTGTGTCTGCTCCCTGGTCTTTGTTGTGGCTTGAAAAGGGTTCATTTGGTTGCTGAAGCTTAAAATCTGTTTTGATTAATTATAGCTTGGGCTTCATTTTCTCATTGAAAATAAGGGGAATTTATTGGTGTCGTTACTTTGAACATTAAAAGAATGTGGAAAAAATCTGACAAAAACAATTAAAAAATAAATAATTTATTTTAACTTTTGCAACACAACCACTGCTTTTTTGGTTTACTTGTTTACAGGGTGTATGATCAGTAAATTATCTGTATTTTCTCCACATTTTTTTTCTCCAAGTTCTATAACCAGAACCATTTTTTGATGTAAATTTACACAATGCCTGTACTTTTTACTCCACTAGTACTATTTGATAACTTGAGTTACTAGTTACTTTGCAGTCTGAGATAACTACTACCTACCATTGGAGAGTTGGCAACTGATCACACTTTGTGCTGTGACATAAATAAAACTGCTCTTCACTGCAGAACAGACCGACCATATAGACCCTGTTCACAGCAGCCATTTTGACATGAAATGGTAGAGTAAACACAGGCGTTATTGTACTATTTAAGGTTCCGTTCCATTCAGGTCAAACAGAGTCAGCGTGCTGCTATTGTGCATGTTGGCTCACTGGAAAGACTGTGCTACACTAAATGGAATGGAGCCTGAATTAGTGTCGTTGCTAACGCTCGTGTTTATCCTACTATTTAATGTCAAAATGGCTGCTGTGAAAAAGGACCCTTGCTTACTAAATAAAAGCTTTTTGAGGTTCCCGTTTTTGGTTGCCATCAAGCCTCCTGTGACTTTTCCTGGGTTTCTACTGTGCTAGCTATTAATTAATCTGTATGTGTGAGCGTATGAGTCATACTTTTATTAGTCAAACAGTGTCTGCCCAGCTTCCCACCTTTCTGCCTGTCCTATCAAATCCACCCGTCTTTCTTTCTATAATTGCAAGCCCATTGGTTTCCACTCCACACTTTAAACTTGTGTTGATGGTGATGAATATTTTAAACTTATCAGTACATCTGAATCCACAATGAGCTAGCGTATACATTCAGAAATCTGTTTTGTTATGACTGCACACACTGTAGTCTAATCCTCCCGACTAAACAAAATACTGGTTCCTGAAATACATACAGGTGTTTATACTGGCACTTGCAGAATAAACCATGTTTCTGGAATCGGCACATGTTTGAAATGGAAATAAAGCAAAGACCGTGCGCTTGGAAACAAACGAAAAGCAAAGCTGGTTTGAATTTACATTTTCATGTCAATGCCAAATGCAGGAAAAAATCAGCGAGGATCTGGTTCTCTTTACCGTATACAGTAGTGTACAGCCAGGAGGAGCCAGGAGTAAAACACAGCAGACCATACCGTGCCATGCCAGCCCCATCAGGCACTGTGTTTCTCCCATCAGGATGGCATTGGCATGCCTTTGTGATGATGCAGACGACGAAAACCTCTCCTGCTGTTTTGTGTTGTAGAGAATGTTTGCAGGATCAGCTGCAGCAGATATATCTTAATAATAACTGAAATCTCTTCAGCAGGCTGCATCTCCTTCTCATTATCTGTCTCCCTCCGTTCATCTGTTTCAGTTTTTCTGGTATTTATTATGTCTGAATGTGTCTCTGTGTCTTAACTGTCTCTTTATATGTCCATTGTCTCTGTCTGTTCAACTGTTGGTTTCACGTTCTTTCTTCCTCTGCACTCCCTGTCCAAAAATCAATTCAGTGGCTTGTGCGCTACTGTATGTAGTAAGATTGATTGAAATTAAAACAAATTTTGATTGTTATAACTTTGCAATGAATTTGGACGGGATCAGCATATTGATATAAAAACCAAAGTGAAGGTTGCCCGGTTAGCTCTCTTGATAGAGCTGGCAACCATAGAATGAGTCCTGCAGCAGCCCAGGGTTCAAATCCGACCTGTGGCTACGTGTCATCCCCTCTCTCTACCCCCCTTTTCCTGTGTAAAAACACGAAGAGGTTATTTGCTGGACTATGTCTTAATGGTCTGTCACATAACCCCAGTTATCCCACCATTCCTCCACCGTGGAATGGAAAGTCTTATCTTAACTCCTTGTTGTTCTTTGGTTTTTGCATTGATCAGACAAAAGATTTGTGGTAATTGGGGAGCTTTGGAGTTGCTGTTAAGCATATTTAGTTATCTTTGGACAGAGGCTGTCGTACTGTAGTTGTATTAATCTGCTCATCTAACTTTCTGCAAGAAAGCAACTAAGCATTACATTGCTCAAGATGTCGATCCATTTCCTTAAAAAATGTCAAACATTCACTGTTTGCAGCTTCTCAACTGTGAATGTCTGCTGCCTTATCATAGTAAATTGAGCTTTGTCACACTAATTCACAAATGCAAATTAATCTGCCAGAGTAGATGACATCATGAGCTAAGCAGATTGGTCTGGTCTGGTTCCCAGGCTAGTTTTATACTGCTTGTCAGACAAAACAAGACATTTACCTTGTCACTTGTGAAACTTTGTGATGGGCATGTTCTGAAATTTTATAGACCAAATGACGAACTCAATAAAATAGTCAGCAGTTTTATGGTCAAAATAATTGTTAATTGCAGCTCATCACATAGGAAATAGTCAAAGGGTGAATTAGGGACTGATGTTGGACACAGTTTCCATGCAGCCTGTTTCTCATTAAATCCACACAGACGAGACCTGTGGAGGTACAGCCGTCCTGTCTCTGGCTCTCCTCAGAATCTGCACATTGAAAAAAACAAAAAAACAACACTACTACATTAACAAGATCTATTTCTCTTTCGCTAAGGTCTGCTGCTGTCGTCTTTGAAGCATAACATTTCTGACTGTGGGGCTACGTTTTTGGGGTTTCCTGACTTTGATGCATGTCCTGTCTGGGGGCCACTGGCTCCCTTGACAGGTGCTCTCTTTAGAGACATGGCACTCGCCCAGTTCATCTACAGCTCCACCAACATGCACTAAGATGTTAAACACTCCTGCAGGTCATGGACCTTAACTAAACATGTGATTACGAAGCCAGAGCTATGAACTTCAGTGTATGTTGATGGCTTTGAACCCTCATAATCGAAATGCCCTATATTCATCAGAATTACTTGTAAATCTTAGCACTTATTTGTATCTTTTAAGCTATTTATCAAACCAAAATGCCAAACATTTATTGCCCTCAGCTTCCCAAATGTAAATACTTGCTTCTTTTCTTTTATTTATTTGATTGTGAATGGAATTACTTACTTTTGGTTGAACAAGACAAGTAACAGGAGGACATCAGTCTACACTCTGAGAACATCTGAGGCCTTTTTTATTATTTTCAGGCATTTTATAAAGGTAATTGGAAAAATAATCAACTGATTATTACAGCCCTGGTGTGCTCTATAGTAATCAGCACATCCGCTCTAGATCTGAAAGTTTTTAGTCTCCTAAATGGTGTCTGTAGGTGTGTACAGTATGTGGATTTCCTTGCGTATACAGTACATGCATGTGTGTCAGAAAGAGAGGGCGAGATGGAGCATGACAAAGTTTGTGTTTGATTGTTTTTTCTGCGTTGAACGTCACCAGCAGAGTGAATCCAATTTGTCTGAGGGCTTTTACTTTTATAAATAGTTAAAACACCGTACACTTGATCCCTAAAGCTGCATCTGTCACAGAGAGAAAGAGACACACACACCTGTGGTCACAATATTCCTTGTTCCATATCCTATCACAACCAACAGTTTCCACTCGGTTCTCTAGAGAGGCCTCTTTCATAAAACTTGTCAAACAATGGGTTTTTACTGGCAAGCCGAGACAAAACAAAAATGTGGGAAAAAAATGATCCATCATTCTGACACTTTTCCATAACTCTGTCAATCCACCAGGGTCCATGTTACGTATTACATGTAAAGCTTGGCAATAGGTGCTTATTAAATGACTTTACCCTTGGTGGAATTTTCATGTCCTAGCAAAGCTTAAGCGTTAGTAAGGGTTGAATTTTGTTTAACTTTTTTTTTTTTTTTTTTAAAGCTGCTATAGTCATTAACAAATTACCCATTAGATCTAAAGTCTTGTGTCATTTCCTTATACCAAACATATGAAACTCCTGATGTACACCTCAAACCTGCATTCATCGTTGGCTTATTTATGGCTAGGTCCAGTACAGCTGAGGAGTGGAAAACCAAAACAACAGGCTGAAAGACGCTAAAACACTGTGAAGCTGAGGGGAGCTGCAGAGATTAATTCTCTCACTTTCTGGCCATGCTGCGTACTTGGCCAGAGGCAGCAGCTAACTGAATCTGAGGTCAGGGGCCAGGGGCCAGGTCAGAGTCATCCAGCTGGTTTGTAGAGAGAGTCAGACGGAAAGGTTAGCCAGCTTTTACCTCTTGTCCAAAAAGCTAGGGGGACATGAGCTGCTCCTATAAGTACCATTATGGATGTCATCCCTGAACTCTGGATATTGTATCATCTGTCTGTCAGGAGAGCTGAACCAGTGCAAATTGTGCACCAGTGTGTGGACAAAGAGCTGATATCATGCCTTAA